GGCTCTGGCTCGGGAGCAAATGCCTGGATCATCCTTGGCGCCCACCGGCCTTTCTTTTTCTTTCTTTTCCTTTTTTTTTTTTTGAGATGGATTCTCGCTCTGTCACCCTGGCTGGAGTGCAGCGGCGCGATTTCGGCTCACTGCAACCTCCGCCTCCCGGGTTCAAGCGATTCTCCTGCCTCAGCTGCCCAAGTAGCTGGGACTACAGGCACGCGCCACCACGCCCGACTAATTTTTATATTTTTAGTAGAGACGGTGTTTCACCATGTTGGCCAGAATGATCTCGATCTCTTGGCCTCTTGATACGCCCGCCTACAGGCGATTTTCTAATCCAGCTTGAGACCTACTACCTGCTGGTTAAATACGAGTTGGAAGCTCCCTGAAGTCCCACCTCCCTTTGGTTGCCCAATCAGGAATAGCCATCTTGTGACGTCTGGAGTAGCTGGGTAGGATACGTTCACCAGCTGTGCTTCTCTTTTGTTTTTCTTTTTGTGTTTGCTTTATTTGCATAATTACTATGCCGGTAACAAAACTGCACCAGCTATGCTTTTTTTTTTTTTTTTCTTTGAGACAGAGTCTCGGCCTGTCGCCCAGGCTGGAGATCAGTGACGTGGTCATGGCTCACTACAACCTCTACCTCCCGGGTGCAAGTGATTCTCTGCCTCAGCCTCCGGAGTACCTGGGATTACAGACGTGCACCACCACGCTCAGATAATTTTTGTATTTTTAGTAGAGACGGGATTTCACCATGTTGCCCAGGCTGGTCTCAAACTCCCAACCTCAGGTGATCCATCTGCCTCAGCCTCCCAACGTGCTGGGATTCCAGGCATGGGCCGCCGCACCCGGCCTCCCCTTCTTTCTATCTCTAGAATCCGCAAGCCTGCATCTAGGTCTCCCCAGTCTTCCCTCCTCACCCGTTCAGAGAATGCCCAAAGCCTGAAAGAACAATCTACTGCCCTGCTATTCCTCTTCTTAACACCACACCTCTCTACACCGAGTCATTCTCCTCCACCTCTGCCAACGTCCACAGCCCAGAGACAAAGGTCAGGGGACAGCCCCGTCCTCATGAAGAGCCTGGTTCTCTTCCTCCTGATGCAGCTGCTGTTCCTTCTTTCCTGAGACAGCTTTGCTCCTGACCTAGTTTCCTCCCTCCTTTCTGCCAGCCTCTCTGATTTCTTCTGTGGGCAGGTCTCAAAGCTCCACCTCCCTCTTCTCAGTACTTATTAAATTATCATTGCCTGGGAACCACCCCAGTAAAATCAAAATCTCTAGGGGTAGTCTCAGATGCTCACTTCTTTTTAGAGACAAGGTCTCACTGTCACCCAGGCTGGAGTGCAGTGGTGCAATCGCAGCTCACTGCAGCCCAAACTCCTGAGGTCAAGTGATCCTCCTGCCTCAGCCTCCTGAGTAGCTGGGGGTACAGGCACGTGCCACCATGCCCAGCTAATTTTCAGATGCTCACATCTTTTTAAGGCCCCCATCATTCACTCACAGAGCTCATCTGGGCTCCTGATGTCAACAGGACCTCTGCGGGGACAGATGCCAAATCTCCTTACCCAATTACCCACTGGATTCCTACCCTCCAGCCATCTGGACCTCCCTACTGGGTTTGGGAGCACCTGGACATGTCAGTACCAATCTCTTCCCAAGCCTGAGCTTTGGGCCCACACTCATAAGGCCCATGACCTTCCACAGGTGCCAAGCTCTCATCCTCAAAGGGCAGTGAGCATGGGGTGAGTATAGGCTTTGAGGGTAGACTACCTGGCCTCTAATTTCAGCCCTTCCACTTACTGACTATATGATTTCAGGTAAGTTACTTAGCCTCTCCTAGCCCCAGTTTCCGCAGATAATATAGCAACCTCACAGCGCTGGGGGGAGTCCTATCACAGCAAATGAAGTAAGTTCCCTAGCACGTGGTAGCCTTCTGTAAATGGCAACTGTGGCCGGGCACGGTGGCTCATGCCTGTAATCCCAGCATCTTGGGAGGCTGAGGTGGGTGGATCACCTGAGGTTAGGAGTTCAAGACCAGCCTGGGCAACATGGTGAAAACCTGTTTCTACTAAAAATACAAAATATTTAGCCAAGGTGTGGTGGTGGTGTGCCCCTGTAGTCTCAGCTACTTGGGAGGCTGAGGCACAAGAATCACTTAAACTTGAGAGGCGGAGGTTGCAGTGAGTCAAGATGGTGCCACTGCACTCCAGCCTGGGTGACAGAGCGAGACTCCATCTCAAAAAAAAAAAAAAAAAAAAAAGCAACTGCCATTTTATGATTCTTCTATGACAACTATCATTATTATTCTCCTCCTCTTCCCTCAAACACACACACACACACACGGCAACTATTTTATGATTCTTCTATTCTATGACAGATATCATTGTTATTCGCCTCCTCTTCCCTCAACACCAAATCTGTCCATTTCTCTTCCAAATGCCTAACATTGGTCCAGTCTCCACCTACGAGCCTCTGCTGCTGCCTGCCACTCTCAAGACATCTGCAATCTGACCAAAATCACTCCTAAAAACTCCACTTGGTTATCGAGCATGGTAGCTCACTGCGTGTAATCCCAGCACTTTGGGAGGCCAAAGGTAGGAGGGTCGCTTGAGCTCAGGAGTTCGAGACCAGCTTGGGGAACATAGGGGGATGCTTGTCTCTACGAAAATAGAAATAAAAAATTAGTTGGGTGTGGTGGTGTGCGCCTATAGTCCCAGCTACTCGGGAGGCCAAGGTGGGAGGATCACTTGAGCCCAGGAGTTCAATACCATTCTGGTATTGAATCCCAATTCAAAAACACAAACTCCCAGCCGGGCACAGTGACTCACGCCTGTAATCCCAGCACTTTGGGAGGCTGAGGTGAGCAGATCAGTTGAGGTCAGGAGTTTGAGACCAGCCTGGCCAACATGATGAAACCTCTTCTCTACCAAAAAATAAAATAATAATAATAAAAAAATTAGCCAGGCATGGTTGTGGGTGCCTATAGTCTCAGCTACTCAGGAGGCTGAAATGGGAAAATCACTTGAACCCAACAGGCAGAGGTTGCAGTGAGCCTGGATTGCACCACTGTACTCCAGTCTGGGTGACAGTGAGACCCTGTCTCCAAAAAATAAATAAATAAAAATAAAAACTCCCCTTTGCTTACATCACCTTTCCGCTCAAAAACCTCCCTAATTTCCTTGCTGCCAAGACTCTCCTTTTTTTATAGGCGGGGTTTCACCATATTGGTCAAGCTGGTCTCAAACTCCTGACTTCAGGTGATCCGCCTGCCTCAGCCTCCCAAAGAGCTGGGATTACAGGCGTGAGCCACCACGCCCAGATGCCAAGACTCTTAACATCCAAACTTCTAATCCTGGTGTTCAAGGCTCCCCATGGCTGATTGATAACCCCCTTTGGTCCTTCCCTCCCCTCTGCCCCTCCATGGGGCCCCTATTCTGGCTCTGCTGGTCCACACCCTGCTTCCAAGTAAAACCAGACTGATTTCACTACCACACCCGAATTCTGGGTCTCTCCACCCTGAAATGTCCTCTTTACTTTGCATTACCCCACCACGTACTGCCTGTTCTTCAAGATCCAAGTCACAATCTAAAGCCGAGGTCAGCCAACTTTTTCTGTAAAATGCCAGTTAGTAAATATTTTAGGCTTTGCCGGCCATGCTGCTTTTACTGCAAGTACTTAACGTTGTTATGACACAAAAGCAGCCACAGGGAGCATGAAAACCAGTGAACACGGCTCTGTTCCAATAAAGCTTAATTTACAAAAACAGGCAGCAGCCAGGTGCGGTGTCTCAGGCCTGCAGTCCCAGCATTTTGGGAAGCCGAGGCGGGCAGATCACGAAGTCAGGAGCTCGAGGCCTGCCTAGCCAGTATGGTGAAACCACATCTTTACTAAAAATACAAAAAATTAGCTGGGCATGGTGGCGCACACCTGTAGTCCCAGCTACTCGGGAGGCTGAGGCCAGAGAATTGCTTGAACCTGGCAGGCGGAGGGTGCATTGAGCTGAGCCACTGCACTGCAGTCTGGGCGACATAGCAAGACTCAGTCTCAGCAAAACAAAACAAAACAAAACAACACAACAGGCAGCAGAGCCTCATGCCTGTAATTCCAGCACTTTGGGAAGCTGAGGTGGGAAAGTCGCTTGAGCCTAGGATTTCAAGACCAGCCTGGACACTATAGTGAGGTCCCATCTCTACAAAAAATTTAAAAATCAGCCAAATGTGGTGGTGTGTCCTTGTAGTCCCAGCTACTCGGGAGGCTGAGGTGAGGTGAGAAGATCGCTTGAGCTTGGGAAGCGGAGGCTGCAGTGAGCCCAGATTGTGCTACTGCACTCCAGCCTGGGCAACAGAGCAAGACCCTGTCAAAAAAAAAAAAAGAAAGAAAGAAAAGAAAAGAAAAGAAAAAACAAAAACAAACAAGTGACAGTTTGAATTTGGCCCATGGGCATTAGTTCACCTCTGCTCTAGGGCCACAAAATTCACTGGGTCTGGCCCAACCCTGTATTGCAGGCTCTGAAGTCCCGAGTCTCTCCCTCTCCATCCCTGAGCCTGAGTCATGCATCTTACACACAGGTCCCTTTTATCCCTGGTGGGGACAGGAGTATGGCAACTTTGAAAGTGTCTTTTAATATTCCGGACCCTGACTGACATAGCTGAGGTTAAACCAAGATCCGTGAATGAGAATGAACCATGCCCAGCCTATTGCCTCACCCCAGTCACCCGTGTCCCAGCAGAGAAGACAAAGGGAAAAGGAGAATGAACGGGGAAAGAGAAATGAGAAGGAGAGGAGAAGGCCGGGTGCGGTGGCTCACACCTGTAATCCCAGCAATTTGGGAGGCCAAGGCGAGAGGATCACTTGAGCCCAGGAGTTTGAGACCAGCCTGGGCAACATGGAAAACACTGTCTCTACAAAAAATACAAAAATTAGCAGGGCGAGGTGGCACATGCCTGTACTCCCAGCTACTAGGGAGGTTGAGGTGGGAGACTGGCTTGAGCCCAGAAAGTGGAAGTTGCAGTGAGCAGAGATGGAGCCACTGCACTCTAGCCTAGGTGAGGGAGAAAGAGCAAGAGCAACAGGTTTGGCAATGGAAAGAAGGAATGAGTAATACCAAGGAGGACAGGCAGAGGGCGCAAGCAGGAAAAAGGAAGGAGGAGGAAGAACATGAGCCTCTAAGGGATAACCATGCTCACTCTGAAAACCATGAGTCTGTGTGCACACGTGGCACTGCAGTTCCCAGCTCACCCCACACTCACTGAGGACGATCTTGTTTACTATTTTGCCCTGCAGACCTTTCCCCATGGCCACAGTCCCTACTCACCCTTTCCTGAGATCAAAGGGTTGAGGGGTAGAGTTCTTGGAGTGAAAAAATGGAAGGAAGAGGAGCTGGAACTGGAGGTGGGGTGCGGGCTGCAGCTGCAAAGATTTCAAAGCTAAGCAGAAAGGATTGGTGAGGGAATAAGCTCTTGTTTTTCACGTGACACCCCCTCCAGGCAGCCTTCCTAGATTTCACCCATTTCATTACCAGAAGGAAATCACTTCTTTATACTCTGAATATCTTTAGCCTTTTGCACTTCCCAGGCTGTAACCTTGTAGGGTGGACCAGTGTGGACATGCTTTTTCTTTCCAGAAGGGCTGGGGAGGCAGTGGGAGCTATAGGAGGGGAGCCAGCAGGGAGGGGTGGAGGAGGTGGGTTGTCCCAGTTCTGCCAGGCGTAAGCCAGGCGACTATGGCCAAGGGGCTGGCCTTCCCTGTCCATTTCATCACTTTGATCGCTCGGGTCCTCCAGCCTGACCAATCTATGAGCATCGTGTGTCCAGGACTGGGAAGAGAGCACCCAGAGGACTGGGACTGTGTAGGCGGGGAGAGAGAGGAGTCCGCAGGTGGGGCCACTGCCGAGGGGCAGTTCCCCGGGGGGCGAGGCGGGGTACCAGGGGCGGGGCCTCACCCGCATGATGCGCACGTTGTACATGCGTGTCAGTCGCTCGTCTCTCTCCTCTGAGCTGTAGATCTCCTGCCGCAGCTTCTCCGCCGCCCGGATGTAGTCCCCCCGCGCCGAGTACACCCACTGCAGGGTCAGCCCGCGGGCCTGGGGGCGGAGGCGCGGGCTGGGGCCGGCTGCAGGGGCCAGGACCCCCGCCTACTATGGGGAGAAGGGCCCCACCTAGAAGACCCTGCACCTTCCAGGTTGGGAGATGGCACGTGCTGGGGGCTTGGGAGGGTACCAGCTGGGTCTTGGGGGCTTAGGAGACTGGAGGCAGGGGGGTCAAAGGGCTGGATTGCCAGAGAGGACCTAGATCCCAGGGATTGCGGAGAGAAGGGGCCGGACCCCCTGGCCTGGGCAGCATCCCCCACTCCCAGAGGCCAAGAGCCGGGTGGGCCTCTTGAACCTTGAGTTCCCCAGAGAACTCGTTGAGGTTCCCGATGTGCCTGAGGACGACGTCCCCGTAGCGGCCGAAGTCAAGGGGCAGCAGGCGATCGTGGCTGAGCCGGATGAGGAGCTGTCCTGCGAGCTGGGCCACGGCTTGGGCCACTGCGGGCAGGCGGCCTTGCAGCACCTGGTGCAGTTTCTCATAAGTGTCCTCCTTTGTGTGCAGGAACGGGTAGGCCTGGTCCTCCTGCCGGGACAGGGTTGGCGCTGGGATGAGGACAGACAAGCTGAGGGACTAGCGCTGTGTCGGGCAGGAGGAGGACGTCTCACCTCCATGAAGGAGAACTCAACAGCAGGGACCCCAGCAAAGGCAGTGAAAGAATAGGCACTGCTGTCCATGGGTAGGGGCCGAATCCTGGGGGCAGATGGATTGGAGGGATCTGTGGGTTCAGGCTCACCCATAGCCCTCCCCAACTCTCCTCATCCCCCCAACTTACACCTCAGCATCCCAGATGGGATTGGTGAACACCACCTGTTCATAGAGCGTCTGCCCACTGTGGTTGGGTGAATCCACCTGGGGGCAGGGTGGGAGGCACTGATCAGGCTCTGCTCCTCCCCCTACTTACTCCCTTGTACCCCCTATTCCTGGGGTGCTCTTGCCTGCTTCAGGACACTCTCAATGAGGCTGGTCAGAAGGGGGCTGGTCTTGGCATGAAACTTGTCATCCCCTGGAAAAAGGAGAAGGGAGGGTGGCAGGTTCAGGGCTTAGCCCCAAAGGCAAGGGTGGACCCCAGGGGACCAGGTGGTGGCACTGCCCTGGCTCACCCAGCACTGCGTTGTCCAGGCTCACATAGACTACAGCTTTGAGGTGCAGCACGCTAAGGTAGCCCTGCGGGTGGGTGACCAGGGTGGAGTGAGAACCCCCCACCCTCACCTCTCCTCACTGCCTAACGACCTGCCCAGGACCCCACATCACCTCTAGCCACTCCGTGGAGCCCACACTCCCAAAGTCACCGCCATCCCAGCTGATGAAGAGGAGACTTCTGCGGGGTCGGAAGCCTGGGGACAGAGGGGAAGGAGGACAGGCTCAGCAGGGGCCAAGCAAAGACCCTCCCCTTGTCTTCTTCTGCCCTGGTCCTACCTTGGCTTCCCAAAGTGCTGGGATTACAGGTTTGAGCCATCACGTCCAACCCAACCTGCTTAATCTTGACACAGACCCATGGACTATGATTATCATACCACTTTCTTTTCTTTTCTTTTGTCTTTCTTTCTTTTTTTTTTTTTTTTGAGATAGAGTCTCATTCTGTTGCCAGGCTGGAGTGCAGTGGTCCGATCTTGGCTCACTGCAACCTCTGCCTCCTGGGTTCAAGCAATTCTCCTGCCTCAGCCTCCCTAAAAGCTGGGATTACAGGTACCCTCCACCAGGCCCAGCTAATTTTTGTATTTTAGTAGAGATGGGGTTTCTCCAAGTTGGTCAGGCTGGTCTTGAACTCCTGACCTCAGGTGATCCACCTGTCTCAGCCTCCCAAACTGCTGGGATTACAGGTGTGAGCCACTGCACACGGCATCACTTTCATTTTTAGGTGAGGAAATTGAGGTGAAGTGACTGGCCCAAGGCCACTCAGGTATGGTGTGGATGCCGAGGTCCAAGTGACCACTGGTCAGTCTGTTCCTCACTGCCTCTCTGCCCTATCCTCCTTGGGCCACAGGGCCAACACTGCCTAGCCCAGGCCCAGGCCCTGACCTTACCGTTGTTCACCATGGAGGCAAAGGTCTGGACCAGCTCCAGGAGTATGGCTGTCCCCACAGCAGACTTAGCTGCTCCTGGGCCCCACGCATCCCTCTGGGCTCCGATGACAACGTAGTGATCTGGGGAGGGGATGTTTGGGACCCACTTCTGACACTGGCAGTCCCCAAAGTCTCCCCTCTGCACCCTGGGGCAGCCCCCATCCACCTCTATATCTCAGCCCTTCACATTGGGGCAACCCCACCCCTGCAGTCCCTCCTGTCCCTAAAGAGAGCTCCCCTCCCTGCTTGGTTCTCCCTGGATGATGCACTCCTTCAGCTATGTGCCTGGGTTCATTCTGGACTTACAGGGTTTCTGTCACTCAGGCTGGAGTGTGCAGTGGTGCATTCATAGCTCACTGAAGCCTCAAACTCCCTGGCTCAAGCCATCCTCTTGCCTCAGCCTCCCAAGTAGCTGGGACCACAGATGTATGGTACAATACTCTGCTATTTTCTTTTATTTTTAAATTTTTTGTAGAGACAGAGTCTTGCTATGTTGCCCCATCTGTCAATTACCTACTTTGATTCCCCACTGCCATCCATGTCTAGCTATGCTTGAAAACGGGCCATTTATCCATCTATCTAATCGGATCGGATCTCTCCCTCATGCTTGAGTTTCTTTCTCTTTTTTTTTTTTTTTTTTGAGACTAAGTCTTGCTCTGTTGCCCAGGCTGGAGTGCAATGGCATGATCTTGGCTCACTGCAACCTCCACCTCCCGGGTTGAAGCAAGTCTCCTGTCTAAATCTCCCGAGTAGCTGAGATTACAGGCATGTGCCACTACGCCCAACTAATTTTTGTATTTTTAGTAGAGATGTGGTTTCTCATGTTGGCCAAGCTGTTCTCAAACTCCTGACCTCAAATGATCTATCTGCCTTGGCCTCCCAAAGTGCTGGGATTACAGGCATGAGCCATCACTCCAGGCCCATGCTTGAGTTTCTATTACAACACCATCCAACCTAGGCTTGCTTACTTCCAGTGCTGGGGAACTCACTACTGGGTAACAACCCCCTTGCGTCACTGGAAGGCTGGAAGATGAGGTCTCTTTACTGCTGCCACCATTAGACCCAGTTCAGCCTCAGCTTGCCAGCCTCCCTCCTCTGGGCACCACTCCTGTCCCCTCTCTGGGGCCTTCCGCACGAGCCTCCTATCTTCCCAGGGTGTATGGTCAGAAATTCCTCCCCATCCACCACAAGCTGTGAGTGATACTGGACACACAGCCCACCTGGCTCTGAGCGGCCTTCGATGCAGCCAAAGATGTTGTTGATGGGGGTGGATGTCCTGTGGTTGTTGACCTCTAGCCGCATGCCTGGCCCAGGGCCCAGGTGATAAGGGGAGCCTAGGAGGCGCCCTTGCCATTCCTGGGGGGCCACAGGGCCTTTGAGCTTCCTGGAGAGAAGGAAGATAGAAAGGGTTAGAAGTTGCAGAGAGACCCAGAAGAGCCCAAATCACTCTCTTCCTTCTTTCTTTCCCTCCCACCATTTCTGGCTCCAGATTGCTGCCTCTGCACCCCCTGCCTAGGTGGGCCAGTGCAGTCAGGGCTGCCTTGGACGGTTGTGCTGGTTGTATACTGCTCAAAGGTTCTCAGCTGAAGTAGGTGTGCAATCCGGTTGCCAGACAGTGGACCCTGGAGAGAGCCTGTGTCCACCCAGAAGAGTCACTTTTTATTTTTTTTGAGATGGATTCTCACTCTGTCGCCCAGGCTGGAGTGCAGTGGCTACATCTCAGCCCACTGCAACCTCTGCCTCCTGGGTTCAAGCAATTCTCCTGCCTCAGCCTCCCAAGTTGCTGGGACTACAAGCACCCGCCACCACGCCCAGCTAATTTTTGTATTTTTAGTAGAGACAGGGTTTCACCATGTTAGCCAAGATGGTCTTGATCTCCTGACCTTGTGATCCACCCGTCTCGGCCTCCCAAAGTGCTGGGATTACAGGTGTGAGGCCACTTGCCGGGCGTCTTTTTTTTTTTTTTTTTTTTCAATACAGAGTCTTGTTCTGTTGCCAGGTGCCAGGCTGGAGTGCAGTGGCGCGATCCCGGCTCACTGCAACCTCCTCCTCCTGGGTTCAAGCAATTTTCCTGCCTCAGCCTCCCCAGTGGCCAGGACTACAGACGCATGCGCCACCACACCCAGCTAATTTTTGTATTTTTTAGTAGAGATGGAGTTTCACCATGTTGGCCAGGATGGTCTTGATCTCTTGACCTCGTGATCTGCCTGCCTCGGCCTCCCAAAGTGCTGGGATTACAGGTGTGAGCCATGGTGCCTGACCCCCCAACACCTTTTTTTTAAGACAGGGTCTCGGCCAGGCAGGTGGCTTCTACCTGCAATCCCAGCACTTTGGGAGGCCGAGGTGGGCAGATCATGAAGTCAGAAATTCAAGACCAGTCTGACCAACATGGTGAAAACCCATCTCTACTAAAAATACAAAAATTAAGCTGGGCGAAGTGACTCACTCCTGTAATCCTAGCACTTTGGAAGGCCAAGGCGGGCAGATCATGAAGTCAGGAGATTGAGACCATCCTGGCCAACATGGTGAAACCCTGTCTCTACTAAAATATAAAAAATTAGCCAGGTGTGGTGTCTTGTGCCTGTATTCCCAGCTGCTTGGGAGGCTGAGGCAGGGGAATTGCTTCAACTGCGAGGTGGAAGTTGCAGTGAGCCGAGATCACATCACTGTACTCCATCCCAGTGACAGAGCAAGACTCCATCTCAAAACAAAAGAAAACAAAAATTAGCTGGCCGTAGTGGGGGGCACCTGTGGTCTTAGCTATGGGAGGCTGAGGCAGGAGAATCACTTGAACTTGGGCAGTGGGGGTTGAAGTAAGTTGAGATGGAACCGCTGTACTCCGGCCTGGGTGAGGGAGCGAGACTCTGTCTCAAGGGAAAAAAAAAAAACAGAAAAACGAGTCAGGGTCTTTTTCTGTCTCCCAGGCTGGAGTGCAGTGGTGTGATCATGGCTCACTGCAGCCTTAAACAAGAGTCACCTTTTTCTAGTTCACCCACAGGCACCCTGTGGCCTAGCTGCAGCCTCCCTCTCTCTGCCTCCTCTTCTTCTGGTCCCCAACACTCCCCTCACCTCAGCAGGCGGGAGGCAATGTCTGCACTGATGGGCTGGGCTGGGATGCTGGGAAGGCCTGATGATGTGACTGGAGGGAACTGGGTTTGATTGAAGGAAGGGAAGCCAGGCGTGTAGGGGTCTCCGGTTCCCAGGTGCACCTTCGGGGAAAGTGGTGCCCACATGAAGCTGCAAGCTGGGCTTCCAGGAAAAACATGCCAGCCCCAACTGAGCAAGACGGTGTGGCCCTGGGACCAGCCTCCCGGGACTCACGTGTCCATACACAGCCTGCTGGCTGGACAGGCTCGGCTTGTGTGGGTCCTGGGAGAAGTCCGCTGGCTCCGGGTATATGAGCACTCCTCGAGCCCCGAAGTCCTGAGCATTGGTCACCTGGGGAGGAAAGTGACTAGAGGACTCCTCCCAGGAAAAAACCCGATTCATAAGGGCAGGAGAAACCAGGAAAAGTGAAATGGCAAGTCCTTTGCTTGCAACTGTCCATCCCATGGAGAGGGTGTGGGGGCGCCACCTGGCCTGTTTCTTCCCAACCTCAGCAGCTCCTGGGCAGCCCTCAAACCCCACCGGGCCCTATGGTACCCCATGTTTCTGTTCCCTTCCCCATCTGATTTCCCCCAACCCCCAATTTGTTCTCAGCCAACATCTTCCTATCTTCCTTCCTTCCTTCCTTCTTCTCTCCCTCCCTTCCTCCCTACTTGTCTCCCTTCTCTCTGTCGCTTCTTCCTTTTTTTTTTTTCTTTTTGAGATAGATCTCTCTTTGTTGCCCAGGCTGGAGTGCAGTGGTGCCATCATAGCTCACTGCGGCCTGGAACTCCTGGGCTCAAGCAAGCCTCCCACCTGAGCCTCTGGAGTAGCTGGGACCACAGATGCATGCCATTAGCCCAACTAATTTAATTTTTTTTTTTTTAGTAGAGGTGATCTCACTATGCTACCCTTTAACTCCTGGCCTCAGGCGATCCTCCTGTCTTGGCCTCCAAGTGGCAGAATTGCGGGTGAGAGCCATTGTGCCTAGCTTATATTTTCTTACCATCCACAGGGTTCTTTCCTGCCTTCCTCTCACAGCCCCCTGGACGATTCCCACTGGCAGTTCGACCCTCCGGTTCCACAGCCCACGCCCTCCCTCTATCCAGGGGCACCTACCTTCTGGGCAAAGCTGATCACCCCCACGCGCACCAGCAGCAGGCGGCCCGCCGGGTCCACGCCCCTGGCCCGCAGCTCCTGCAGGTCTTCAGGCCGTCCGTAGTGGGCGTACACCAGCTCTCCCTGGGGACCCGAGGACGGTTAGGTGCACTCCTCCGAGACCCAGGAAAGGGCTCGTGCCTCGCCTCATCCTAGGAGCGGGCAGGGGGCGCTCACCGTGACGTTGCCGATGGCGCTGTAGGGGCAGTAGACGTCGGGATCCTCCAGCGGCAGCTGCTCTCCGACCTTCCCGGCCTCATCGACCCAGCGCAGGGTGTTGGGGTGAGCACTGGGGAGCGGGGCTGGTGAGCACCCCAAGCCGCGCCCCCCGCCCCGCGAGGCCCCCGCGCTGCCCGTCTGCACGCGCACTCACGGGTCCGGGAACTGCAGCCCCACGTAGTGCGTGTCGGTCCACACGTGATCCAGCTTCTGGCGGGAGAACGCCACGCGGATGTCCTGAGTCAGAGCGGCCATCCCAGCCGAGCCTGCTACCCGTTCCCGAAGGCTGGTTTGCCTGAGCGGGAAGAAGTGGAGATTTTTCTGGGTGGTCCCCCCAAAAAAGGATACCAAACACCTGGGGTCGCCCGCGGCAGGGGCAGCTTGCTCCCCGCGGACTTTTTTTTTTTTTTTTGAGACAGAGTCTTGCTTTGTCACCTAGGCTGGAGTGCAGTGGCTCGATCTCGGCTCACTGCAACCTCTGCTTCCCAGGTTCAAACGATTCTCCTGCCTCGGCCTCCCGCGTAGCTGGGATTACAGGCACGTGCCACCACGCCCGGCTAATTTTTGTATTTTTAGTAGAGACAGGGTTTCACCATGACACCAGGTTGGTGTCAAACTCCTGACCTCAGGTGATCCGCCCGTCTCGGCCTCCCAAAGTGCTAGGATTATGGGCCTGAGCCACCGTGCTCTGCCCTCCGTGGATTCATTTTCTCCCATTACCACCAGGGCGGCGCCCAAGGGTCTCAGGACCTCCCTCTGCTTAAAACTTGAGTTTGCATTGCTGGGGGTCCTGCCCATCATCCTGTAGGTTCTTCCTGGCTCAAACCAAACTCTCTCCCCTAACCCCATTCCCCCGACGTCAACACACACACACATCAGGCACCCAAACACTTTCCTTCCAAAGAGCTAAGTGGGCAGGCAGCAGACCCTCCTCATCTCCCCCATCCTCCACGTGGGCCTCCTGGAGACACTTTACATCCTGTCAGTCTTGACTTGTCAGTTCCTCAAGGAAGCCTTCCCTGAACTGCAATCTAAATCAGGGCCTCTGGTTATAGTCTTTCCATGAACCCTTTTTTTCTTTTCTTCCCCCCCCTTCCTTTCCTTCTTTCTTTTCTTTCTCTCTTTTTTTGTTTTTGTTTTTGTTTTGTTTTGTTTTGTTTTGAAGTAGTCTTCCTCTGTCGCCCAGGCTGGAATAAAGTGGTGCAATCTCAGCTCACTGCAACCTCTGCCTCCTGGGTTCAAGTGATTCTCCTGCCTCAGCCTCCCACGTAGCTGGGACAACAGGTGCCCGCCACCATCCTCAGCTAGTTTTTCTATTTTTTTTTTTTTTTTAGTAGAGACAGGGTTTCACTGTGTTGACCAGGCTGGTCTGCAACTCTGGGCCTCAGGCGATCTGCCCACCTCAGCCTCCCCAAATCCTGGGATTACAGGTGTGAACCACGGTGCCTGGACCCTTTTTTCTTTTTTTAGAGATAGGGACTTGCTCTGTCACCCAGCCTAGAGTGCAGTGGCATGACCATAGCTCACTGCATGCAACCTTCAACTCCTGAGCTTAAGTCATCCTCCTGCCTCAGCCTCCTGAATAGCCAGGACTCTAGGCCATGCACCACCACACCAGGCTAATTTTTTATTTTTATTTTTTAAAATTATTATTATTTTTGACATGGAGTTTTGATCTTGTTGCCCAAGCTGGAGTGCAATGGCACAATCTCATCTTACTGCAACCTCCACCTCCCAGGTTCAAGCCATTCTCCTACCTCAGCCTGCTGAGTAGCTGGGATTATAGGCGCCTGCCACCATGCCCAGCTAATTTTTCTGTATTTTTAGTATAGACGGGGTTTCACCATGTTGACCAGGCTGGTCTCAAACTCCTGTCTGCAGGTGATCCACGCGCCTTGGCCTCCCAAAGTGCTGGATTACAGGCATGAGCCACTGTGCCCAGCCAAATTATTATTTTTTAAAAAGACAGGATCTCTCTATGTTGCCCAGGCTGGTCTCACACTTGGCTCAAGCAATCCTCCTGCCTCTGCCTCCCAAAGTGCTGGGCTTACAGGTGTGAGCCATCACACTGAGCCTTACATCCTTTGCTTTTCTTTCTTCTTTTTTTTTTAAATTAAAAAAAAATTTTTTTTAAGACGGGGTTTCACCATGTTGGTCAGGCTGGTCTTGAACTCCCAACCTCAGGTGATCTGCCTGCCTTGGCCTCCAAAGTGCTTGGATTACAGGTGTGAGCCACCACGCCCGGGCTGCTTTCTTTCAAAGCAATGATTTCAGTCGTAATTATGTAGTCATGAATGATTGTTAGTTTAGTATCCGTTTTCTCCAGTGGATTGTAAGCGCCATGAGAACAAAGTTAATGTGTTAGTCTCTGCTGTCTCACCATCACCTGCTTAACTTGGTACCTGCCACATAGTAGGTGCCTCAAAACATTTGTTGGATTAATGAATTAATTACCTCATCATTGTCACTTCTAGTCCAGCCACTCCACTTCCCTGGTCACACCCTGTATTTTTTTTTTTTTTTTTTTTTTGAGACAAAGTCTCTCTTGCCCAGGCTGGAGTGCATCGGCACAATCTCAGCTCACTGCAACCTCTGCCTCCCAGGTTCAAACAATTCTGCCTCAGCCTCCCAAGTAGCTGGGATTGCAGGTGCTCACCACCACACCCAGTTAATTTTTATATTTTTAGTAGAGATGGGGTTTCACCATGTTGGCCAGACTGGTCTCGAACTTTTGACCTCAGGTGATCCACCCGCCTCGGCCTCCCAAAGCGCTGGGATTACCAGTTCCCAAATTGTGCCCAGCCCACAACCTGCATGCTGTGATGACCTGCACTCCATCTCGGGAATACTTATCCATTGAGGATCTACTGAACATCTAGTAAGTGCCAGGCACTGTGGTAGGTGCTGGAGACTCTGAGATAGATAAGATATATGAGATTTTTTTTTGAGATTCCAGAATCCCACTCTCTGAGTAGACCTTGTCAAGTTCCAACTCCCCCAGTTATCCTTGCTGTACCTGCTCTTCGACCCCATTGAACATGACAAATGTCCTATAACTCCATGTCTGTCATCTCTCCCCACTTTCTCTTCCCTCTCCATCCCACCTAGAGCCATGTATTCATTCCTCGCTCTCGCCCCCAAACTGCTACCTGTCTTGCCTCAGTGCCACACCTAGCTTCTAGTCCTGTCAAACTACCTGTGCCCAGACGACCAAGTACTGCTCAAAAAAAAATTTAAAAAGCCCTGAACGGGCCAGGCATGGTGGCTCATGCCTATAATCCCAACACTTTGGGAGGCCAAGGCGAGTGGATCATGAGGTCGGGAATTTGAGACCAGCCTGACCAACATAGGGAAACCCCATCTCTACTAAAAATACAAAAAAATTAGCTGGGCATGGTGGCAGGTGCCTGTAATCCCAGCTACTCAGGAGGCTGAGGCATGAGAATCACTTGAACCTGGGGGGCAGAGGTTGCAGTGAACTAAGATCACACCAGTGTACTCCAGCCTGGCAACAGAGTGAGAATCGGTTGCAAAAAATAATAATAAAAATAAAAAAATAATTAAAAATCCTGTCTCTAAAAAAAAATAATTTTGAAAAAAGAAAAAAGAAAAATTAGCCAGGACTGGTGGCACCTGCCTGTAGTCCCAGCTACTTGGGAGGCTGAGATGGGAGAATCACCTGAGCCTGGGAAATCGAGGCTGCAGTGAGCCCAGATTGCCTTGTTGCATTCTAGCCTGAGTGACAGAGCAAGGCCCCGTCTCAAAAAATATTAATGTAGTTTAGTTTAAAAGCCCTGAACAGGCTGGGTGTGGTGCCTTATGCCTGTAATCCCAGCATTTTGGGAGGCTGAGGTGGGAGAAGTGAGGCCAGGAGTCTGAGACCACCCTGGACAACATAGCGAGACCTCATTTCTACTAAAACATAAAAAATTAGGCTGAACTCGGTGGCTCACACTGTAATCCCTGCACGTTGGGAAGCCAAAGTGGGTGGATCACCTGAGGTCAGGAGTTTGAGACCAGCCTGACCAACATGGAGAAACCCTGTCTCTACTAAAAATAGAATATTAGCTGGGAGTGGTGGCAGGTGCCTGTAATCCCAGCTACTTGTGAAGCTGAGGCAGGGGAATCGCTTGAACCTGGGAAGTGGAGGCTGCGGTGAGCCGAGATTGCACCACTGCACTCCAGCCTGGCAACAAGAGTGAAACTCCGTCTCAAATAATAATAATAATAATTAGTTGGGCACAGTGGCGCACATCAGTAGTCCCAGCTACTTAAAAGGCTAAGGTAGAGGATCACTTGAGTCCAGGAGTTGGAGGCTGCAGTGAGGTATCATCTTGCCACTGTCTGAGTGACAGAGTGAAGCCCTATCTCGAAAAAATAAAGCGCTGGCCAGGAGAGGTGGTTCACATCTGTGATCCCAGCACTTTGGGAGGCTGAGGCGGGTGGATCACGAGGTCAGGAGTTTGAGACCAGCCTGGCCAAAGTAGTGAAACCCTGTCTCTACTAAAAATACAAAAATTAGCTGGGCATGACGGCGTATGCCTGTAATCTCAGCTACTCAGGAGGCTGAGGCAGAAGAATCGCTTGAACCGGGGAAGCGGAGGTTGCAGTGAGCTGAGATTGTGCCACTGCACTCCAGCCTGGGTGACAGAGTGAGACTTCATCTAAAAAAAAAAAATAATAATAAAGCACTAAACCTTGTTTATTCCATAGATTTAAGGTCTTTCAGCAGGTGAACCAGCAACATATCAAAAGAGTAATCATATACCTTGATCAAGGTTGGCGTTGAGCTCATGAAGATAAGGAAATCTATTAACACAAATTACTATATAAACATTAAAGAAGAGGCCAGGCTCAGCGGCTCAGGCCTATAATCCCAGCACTTTGGGAAGCAGAAGTGGGCAGATCGCTTGAGCTCACGAGCTGGAGACCAGCCTGGGCAACATGGTGAAACCCTGTCTCTACTAAAAATACAAAAATTAGCCAAGCATGACGGTGCACGCCTGTAATCCCAGCTACTTGGGTGGCTGAGGCATGAGAATTGCTTGAACCTGGGAGGCAGAGCCTGTAGTGAGCCAAGATTGCACCACTGCACTCCAGCCTGGGCGACAGAGCAAGACTCTATCTCAAAAAATAAATAAATATATAAATAAATTTTTAAAAGTCTCAGTAAGCTAGGAATAGAAGGAAAAATCCTTAATTCAATTTGAAAAAGCTGTTTGAAGCATAGCAAAGTTCATTTAATCGCAAAATATTATAAAAGAATTGCTGTTAAAGTCAGCACATAGGCGAGGATACCTACTGCTACTGTTAACCTTAAGTTCATGCGCTCTCAGATGCAATAAGAAAAAAAAAAAACTTAGAAGGCATTGGAAAAGAGACTGTCCATCTCCTACTATCTGTAGCTTAGCTGATTACCTATTTAGAAAAGCCAGGCGAATCCACTGAAAAACTACTCCTGTCCCAAAAGAGGGCTATGGGTGGGCCTAGCTTCTGGACCGGTCTGAACAGCTTCTCCCTAGTAGAAGGCCACTTCAGCAGGATGACAGACACAAGCCTGTGTGTGTCTAGCTAGCATCCTCATGATGCAGATGTGTGGCTGTGTGGGGGCTGTTCTGCACCCACAAAGCATTTGCTTGCTTGTTTTTCTTTTGTTTTTGAGACAGGGTCTTGCTCTGTCTCCCAGGCAGGAATGCAGTGGTACGATCTCGGCTCACAGAAACCTCTGCCTCCCAAAGTAACTGGCTTATCCTCCCCTGTGAATCTATCAAGTAACTGGGACTACAAGTGCTCACCATCATGCCCAGCTAATTTTTTCTTTTTTTTTGAGATGGAGTCTCGCTCTGTCGCCAGGCTGGAGTGCAGTGGCGCAATCTCAGCTCACTGCAACCTCTGCCTCCCGGGTTCAAGCAATTCTCCTGCCTCAGCCTCCCGAGTAGCTGGGACTACAGGTGTGCACCACCACGCCCAGCTAATTTTTATAGTTTTTAGTAGAGACGGGTTTTTACCATGTTGGCCAGGATGGTCTTGATCTCTTGACCTCATGATCTGCCCGCCTCAGCCTCCCAAAGTGCTGGGATTACAGGTGTGATCCACTGCACCTGGCCTTGTATTTTCTTTAGTAGAGACAGGGTTTTGCTGTGTTGCCCAGGCTTGCTTGCTTGTTTTTCTGATTCCCTAGAATGTGCCTTTTCAGAACCCCTCAGCATACTCCCTGCTGCTGCTCCAGGTCCAAATCTAGGCGCCTGGGTGCGGCATTCAAGGCTTTTCTGGGTCTACTGTTGGATGCTGGACCCCTCTAATCTCAGCCAGTTCCCTCACTCCCCAAATATGCCACCCTCAGAGCCTCAGTCTCCTGGAACCTCAGCTCCGAATGCTTGCCACCTTTCCCAGGACCGCTGAACAGGGGGTTCAGGAAGGCAGATGGGAGGATTCAGGAGGGGGACCGAACACCAGCAGCCTGGGAGAGGAGGCAGGGAGGCCCAGTCTGAGCAGATTAGGGGAGGGACACTTGAGGCCAGGATGGGGGCAGGGCCATCCCTACCTGATGGTGTCTTCCAGGCGCCCCTCCCCCAGGAACCGCAGGAACATGGCCTGGAGATCGTTCCAGTACAGTGTGCCCCCGTGGGAATCCAGGCCGGTCTCATAGTTGACATCCTCACTGACCACCAACACGGAGTCCCCGCACGTCTGGCAGGACCCTCGGAAGGCGACATAGCCCAGAAGGAAGGCTGGCGGGTGGCAAGATGGGGATTCCCTTTGTGCCCACGTCTGGACCCCAGAAATCTCCCCCAGCCCAGGCCCTTCACTTTGAGGGAGGGGGAGGACTCTCACCCCCAGTGAAGATCAGTAGGGCCGTCAGGACGAGGTAGGGGGCAGCCCTCCGTCCTGCTGCTGCCCAGGGAATGAGGTTTGGCTGCCCAGGTCTAGAGCCCAGGGACTCAGGGCCCTTCAACTCCATGGGGCAGAAGTGGGCCAGTGTCTCCGCCCCCTCCTCCCTGTCTTCCTCTTCCTCCTCCAGGCGCCCCTTCCGGGGGCCTTCCACACGCTGGTAGACGGTCTGAGAGGATATTGGGGACAGTTGTTGCTGTGCAGGCGGGGTGGGCATGAGATTAGGGCAAGAGGCCTGTGGGGTGGGGAGGCATCTGGCAATAACGAGGTCAGTGACTTGGGGGTGTCAAGTGAGCATGGGGGTGGGGATGTGGGGGAGGGACTGGGGGGGCTGGTTGGAGGGGCAAGCAGGGGTGGGAAGAGTTGAGGTCAGGACATGGGCCAGGAGGGGCCAGCCTCAGGGGCTTGGGAGGGGGCTGAGGGACTTAGAGAGAAGGCCTAAGGGGTCCTTCCAATCCCACTGGTCTTACCACTCTCTGGAGTAGACCCCAAAGCCGCTCCATGCTTGCGCCCCCTCCTGAAGCCTGCAGGCTGTCCCCCAGCGATAAACCGTTTGTGGGAGCCCCAGGAGGGCCCCTTATCATCCCAGACAGGCAGCCTGAGCCCCGGCTGGTCCTCACCACCCCTAAGGGTCGGGGCACAGTCCTGGCCTCAGTCCAGCCTTCCAGACGTGGCCCCCCCCCAGCCCAGGCCAGAGCACAAGGAGGTGCTCTTTCCTGCCAGTCCCTCCGCAGCCCCACACCTGCCTCCTCCCTGCAAAACAATCAGTTTTTTGACCTTGGGGCGGACTTTGGCCTCCTAGTTCCCATCAGGAGTGGGGGAAGGTGACCGAATAATGGGGGAGGGCAGAGACACGGGTGCCCCCTCCCCTCTCCTGCTTCTACCCCTCCCTGCATCCTGGGGACCCCTTCCTAAGCTCCCCACACCCAGGTGGAAGATTCACCCCTAAGACATCTGGCTTTCACCTCTCCTCATCTGGCTTTCAGAGTCCCCGGCTGCCCAGGTCCTATGACATATCAGTTTTCCTCCCTGCCCTGACACTTGCCCCAGCAGCATTCTAAGCTGGAGGGGCCACAGTGGTGTGACGAGGGGGTTTGGTCTGGCGATGTGCTTGTGTGTCTCTTTCGAAAGGTGGTTCTCAGACTGCCGCTGGCTTCTGGAGAGGTAGGGGCACGGGTGGAAGCACATGTTCAGATGAGGCCAGCGAGTGCTCCCTGATAGGGGTCCTGGGATCAGGGATCTGTGTGGGTCAGGAATCTATGGGTCAGTGGGGAGGAGTGATCAGAGTCCCTGCCAAGGTGTGGGCAGAGCTAGGTGACCTTGGGCAAAGTTATGGTCCTCCCTGGGTACCAGCACCTGTCTGGTTACCAAAGGACTTGGATTATGTGAGTTTCTACTTCTTTGGGGTCTGAGGCCCTCTGAGAGTCTGATGAAAAGCCAGTTAGCCTCACCCCAGAAACACATCATAGGCATAAACTGCTGAACAGGCAGGGGGCCCTGGTTCCCAAGCCTTTCCGAGGGGCCCAGGACAAGTAGCTCTGAAGAGGAGGGTTCAGGGTCCCACCAAGTTCCCCTTTGGGGGTTTCCCCTGGGAAACCTCAGCTCCCACTCAGGTCCAGAGAAGTTCTGAGCTGCTGGGATGCACCAGTGTCCTAGTCCCTGCCCCATGCCTGTCACCACCAAGAGCCCCAGGAAGGAAGGCATAGCGCAGCTCACCTGAGCGCAGGTCCCGGGGTGCTCAGGCGCGCTGCTCCCCTGAGACCTGAGGCCCACGCTGAGGCCCCGCCCACCAAGCCCCACCTCCTGCCCCCGCTACCCAGGCTCCACCCCCTGCTCCGCCCAACTTCTGCCCCACTCACCCAGGCCCCGCCCCTCCGCTGCACCCTGCAGCTCCCCCTTAGTCCCACCACAACTCTGTTTCCCCCTAGCAACTCCCCATCGCCCCCGGTCTTCGTCGCGTGGTCCTCCCTGGATCACAACTCCTCGGAAGCCTGAGGAATCGATGGCCCCTGGGGCTATGTCCCGGCGCCCATTGTGGGATCGGCGTAAGTGTAGAAGTGACCCTCCCTCCTTCACCTCCCTCCAGACCCCTGCGTCCACTCACCACCCCACGGAGGCCAAACTCTTTTTTTCTTAAAACGTTTTTACTTCTTTCAACCCAGAAACATCACCATTTACGATGACAAGAGGGAAGGAGGAGGGCAGTGATGTGGCAATGGGGGTTAAGGGACTGAGCTTGGGAGCAGGTGTGTGGGGAGGGTTGCCATCAGGGGCACTTTCGCTCCACGCATTGCTTCCCGCCCTCTTCATATTCCTGCTTGGAGATCCACATCTGCTGGAAAGTGCCCTGGGTGGAGGAGGCATCATGAGGATCAGGGTGGCCTTGGAGGGAGGTGTGGATGGGCAGGTGCAGCCCCTGGGAACCCTCCAACAGGCCGCAACGGCCCCTCGGGTCCACATCCCTCTGAAACCCCTCCCCACCTCAGAGGGAGAGTATCCTCTTCATACCATTCAATCAATCATTCATTCATTCAAGTATTTATTGAACAGCAGTCTCTGCCTTGAGCTAAGCCCTGTTCCTGGGCTGGGGGATGGCACATACAGCCCCAGGCCAGCCAACCTGCACCCAGCAACCAATACCCACTACGCACACACAGTTCTCCCCCAAGGTGTCCTCTCCCCACTCCATCAGGGCTACCAAACACTGAAAGCCTCCCTTCTTTTGAAGGACGATGTTCCCTCCACCTCACCATTCCAACACTGTGGCACCCCATCTGCAGCCTTCACCATTACAACATGCCTGTGAGTATTCTTGCAATGACCATGTCAATGTCCCTTCTCTCTCTCTCTCTCTTTTTTTTTTTTTTTTTTGAGATGGAGTCTCATTCTGTCACCCAGATTGGAGGGCTGGAGTGCAGTGGTGCAATCTTGGCTCACTGCAAACCTCCACTTCCCAGGTTCAAGCAATTCTCCTGCCTCAGCCTCCCAAGTAGCTGGGACTACAGGTATCTGTAAATACGCCTAGCTATTTTTTTTTTTTTTTTTTTGAGATGGGGTTTCGCTCTTGTTACCCAGGCTGTAGTGCAATGGCGTGATCTTGGCTCACCGCAACCTCCGCCTCCTGGGTTCAGGCAATTCTCCTGCCTCAGCCTCCTGAGTAGCTGGGATTACAGGCACGCGCCACCATGCCCAGCTGATTTTTTGTATTTTTAGTAGAGACGGGGTTTCACCATGTTGGCCAGGCTGGTTTTGAACTCTTGACCTTGTGATCCACCTGCCTTGGCCTCCCAAAGTGCTGGGATTACAGGTGTGAGCCACAGCTCCCAGCCCTCTTTACTTTTTTAATCTTTATTTTTTGTAGAGATGGGGGTCTCGCTATGTTGCCCAGGCTGGTATCAAACTCCTGGGCTCAAGTGATCATTCTACCTTGGCCTCCCACAATGTTGGGATTACAGGCGTGAGCCACCACTCCTGGGCTTCTTTGATCTTTCTCACCCTGTACACATGTGCTGTCCAATGTAGTGGCCACTGGTCTCCTGTGGCTCACAGTCCTGGTCCAAATTGAGATGTGCTCTAAGTGGAAAACAGACACCGATTTTTTTTTTTTTTTTTTTTTTTTTTTGAGACAGGATCTCCTTCTGTCATCCCGGCTGGAGTGCAATGGCACAGCTCACTGTAGCCTCAACCTTCCAGGCTCAAGTGATTCTCCAACCTTGGCTTCCTGAGTAGGTGGAACTACAGGCATGCACCACATTGCCAGCTGCTTTTTAATTTTTTTGTAAAGACAAGGTCTTGCTTTGTTGCCCAGGCTGGTCTAGAAATTTTGAGCTCAAGTGATCCTCCTACCTCAGCCTTCCAAAGTGCTGGGATTACAGGCATGAGCCACCCCACCTGGCCAGGATATCTTATTAATACTTAATTTTGAGCTGGGTGCGGTGGCTTATACCTGTAATCCCAGCTCTTTGGGAGGCCAAGATGAGCGGGTCACTTGAGGTCAGGAGTTTGAGACCAGCCTGGCCAACATGGGAAAACCCCATCTCTATCTACTAAAAATCCAAAAATTAGCCAGGCATGGTGGTGCACGTATGTAATCCCAGCTAGTCGGGAGGCTGATGCAGAAGAATCACTTAAACCCAGGAGGTGGTGCCAAGATTGCTCCACTGCACTCTAGCCTGGGCAACAGAGTGAGACTCTCTCTCAAAAAAAAAAAAGAACTGTGTGGCTGACATACTCCAGCCCTGAGCTAAGTTTCAACTGCCAGCCTCTGTCTTTCTGACCCTGGTTTCTGTCTCCCTGGGGGACTTCCCTTCTCGTGAATGTCCTCCTTGTCTGTCATGGCCCCACTGTTCCCTCTGTGTGGCTGATACCCTCCAGATGCAGTTTGCAACTCCAGCTCCCTGCTCAGTACCTTCCTTTGACCTCAGCAACAGATCCAGACTGAACTCACCACCTCCTTCCCCAGAGCCAATCTGCCTGCCTCTTTTGCTAGTTACCCCTTGCTGTCCACCCAATCCCCACTGCTATCCATGCTATGACTCCACGACAATCGAAACAGCCTCCTTGCAAGGCCCCCTTGACCCCAGCTCACACCCTGATCCCAAAGACTCATGCCTGGCAGTATTCCCAATGCCTGCATTGCCACATCACTCCCTTGCCCCAAACCATCAGGGTCTCTCCTCTGATGACTCAGCACAGTAGATGTCTTGCCAAAATCTCATCCTGACCTTGTATCTCCAGCTACCTGTCCCTCTACTCCCAATTTTTTTTTTGAGAGAAAGAGTCTCGCTCTGTCACCCAGGCTGGAGTGCAGTGGTGTGATCTTGGCTCACTGCAATCTCTGTCTCCTGGGTTCAAGAGATTCTCATGCCTCAGCCTCCTGAGTAGCTGGGATTACAGGCATGTGCCACCATGCCTGGCTAATTTTTGTATTTTTAGTAGAGACAGGGTTTTACCATGTTGGCCAGGCGGGTCTCAGACTCCTGACCTCAAGTCATCCGCCCACCTAGGCCTCCCAAAGTGCAGGGATTACAGGTGTGAGCCACCATGCCCAGCCTATTCTCTCCAATTTGTAAAAGTAGAGATGGGTCTTGCTATGTTTCCCTGCTGGGTCTCGAACTCCTGGCCTCAAGTTATCCTCCTACTTTAGTTTCCCAAAGTGGTGGGACGACAGGTATGGGCCACTGTACTGGGCCCCTGCTCCCCGATTTGTGTCCTGTTTATCCTTCTGGGAACACTTATTGACCTTTCTCAAAAATAAATGTTGAATGAATGAATAAGTGAGTGAATTAATGAATGAATGAAGCAGGCAAAGTGGTGGGCGCTGTCTGGGTCTCCCCTCTCCCCCACAGTCAGTGCTGGGCCAAGTACCCTTCCTCTCACCAGTGAGGCAAGGATGGAACCCCCGATCCAAGGGCTGAACTTGCGCTCCATGGTGCTGTTGCTGGCGATGAGTTTCAGTCGCATGCTCTGGGGGTAAAAAGGGGCTGGGGGAAGCAGACACCTAGGTTCTGGGAAGGGACAGGGCTTAGGGGAGGACAGGGGAAGACCTGGGAAGCCACAGGGGCAGGGGTGCTGCTCTGGTGTCCAGAACAGAAGGAAAGATGTGGGAAGGATGAAGGGACACAGTCCTGGGCAGCTGAGCCAGGATGGGCGTCCAGGGCCCTGGGGTGGTCTCCTACCGGTGGGGTCTTCTGGGAAAGCTCTCGATTGAGCCTGTCAGTGAAGCCCTGCAGTAGTGTGTTCCCACCAGTGACAATGACACTCCCGTACAGGCCCTGAGAGCAGGGAGAAGGAGTGAGCCGTCGGGGAACAGCCCCCTCACCCCGCCTCCCCACTT